TTTCCCCCCCCCCCCCCCCCCCCTGGGAATAAACCAGCGGACGCCCATGATCTACAGGTCACGTTTTTGTCCACAATGTCGCATTTGTTCCCAGATTTGTACGATTTATTTTGAGGTAGGACCACTATTTTTCATAGAACGTTTAGAGCATTATTTTTTATTTTAACCGAGATGTTCCTTCATTCAGCACACCTTTAAGCATATGGGCCTTATCCCTATCTTACTGTCACGGGGGGGGGGGAGGAAAAGTGTCCCGTTTCCCTCACTTCGACACATTTCCAGAATTCACGCCAATCTTTCGCAATTCCTCCCCGTACTAAAGGATGGCAAAAATAATTCCCAACTTCATCAGCGGAGATTCCGGATGCCCTGTTGGAATTCGTTTCATTCGAGGTCAACTTGCCACAGACTTCCATATAATACATTTTGCAACGTTACCAGACTGCTTGTGCTCATGCTATTGCTGAAAGCTAGCTTAGCATTTCCTAATAATGTATGCCCAAGGGCAGGTGGGAAAGGATCAATCGAGTTGTTCCCAAGCTTTTCACGTACTCTTCCCTACCGGACCCTGGCTTAGTTTCAAAGCCCCGCCTGCCTACTGAATAGGACTACAATACCTTGTGATTGCCTTCGTCCCTTCCCTCCTACTCTTCTCGATCTAGGTTTATTCAACATTGGGAATATGAAATTTGACTTTTTCATCTAAATTTTCTATTAACCTAGGTCCTGTCACGTCCCCCAGTTTGCAAACCTCTGAGTTGATCGATTCAAAAGACTGACTTGGATATTGTGCGCATAGGCGAGTCACCTTTCTGAAGGTTCGAGTAACGAAGAGAATCCGCGTAAATCCCCAAAATCGGCGGGAGCTTCTTTATTTCTCTTTCTCTCACCAAACCCCATTCAAGAGGGATCCCTCAAATCTTACAGTGCAGAGTGCGATGAAGATCGCGTTATCGCGAGGTCATTCGAGCGGGAAATTAGTTCGGCGAAACAGGAGCAAGAGAAGCAGCTAGCTCTCGATACAAACAACAATCCTGAGGCTTTTCTCGATATACCAGCGGCAGGAGTCAACATTCGATCGAGCCCCTAAAAGGACTTGACATCCTTGACGAGTATTCGTCTCAAACTGACAGCCATTCAATTGAAGTTCTTCAAGCACCTCTGCACAGGTGTGGAAAGTGCACAGAGACGAGGCCTCCACGACAGTTCTCATGCATCTTCTCCTACTTACTCTTGCTTCTTTTCAAGGCCTCTTCTGAAGTCCTTCAAATGAGGGGGGGGGCAAGAGTTTTACGAAGGAGGGGCTGGAATTTCCGTATTTTCTTCTTGGCCGGTTAAGGAGGGGAATGGCGAATGCATATTGACCGAAGTTGAGGGGAGTTAAACCCAAACGTGGGAGACAGTGGCGTATTTTGACTGAAGAGTCAAGGGGAGGGGGAGGGAGGGAGGGAGGCAGGGCAGCAGAGCGAGAGCGCAAAACCAACCAGAGAGATGTCAAGGGAGCAAATTATAGGCCCGAATGCACAAATCTCATTTAGGGGAAATAAAGGGGCCTTCAAGCTTAAGAGCTCTTTTTCTCCCATAGGAGTCCATGTATTCTCAAAGGACCGTTAATTAAAGAAAGTCCCAGCATTCGGACCATAACCTCCAAGGGGGCGCCATGGTCGCGCCTGCATAACCCCCCCCCCCCCAGGCCCCTCTCCCCTGGAAAAATACGTCACTGGTAGGGGAACTTCAGCTATCCCACGCGATGAACAACATATCCCCCCACTCTCGCCGTCACTGGGTGGGGGAGGGGGATCACGGGCCTGTGATGGAAGCGCTGGAGTCCAAGTTTGGTAAGTGACCTAGTTTCGGCTGTGGAGACGGCGAGCGTGCCTGGAATGGTGGAGAAGAGTTGACAATGAAATGGAGCGCAGACTTCGCTTATGATTCACATGGAAGATAGTGCCAGAGTCTGCACTGCTTAGAGATGATGGCGGAGTCCGGGCAGTGAATAAGACTTGGATAAGACTAGCACGGAAAGAATGGCTAGACCCTTTTTATACTGTACGCTATTGAGGGTAGAGGAGGGGGCATGATGGGGCATGGAGTTCACCAGATCACACCCCAACCCGACCACTCACCTCACGATAGCACTTGTATCTTGATTAGCCCCCATGAGATAACGTCTACACGGGCTGGGCTGGGGCGCAGCTAAGGGGAGGGGTGGAGTAACGGGCAGGGCCTCCGTTGAAAATGGTTCAAGGGGATGAGATAGGAGCCTACCTGTTTATGCGGTGACGCCATTAACCTTCCAATTTTTCTATCGTTTCTAAGGTATGAGGTTTATTCTGAAAGGTCAAACAAGATGAAGGTCATCGATAGTCCCGTCGAGACCGGTCGAGCCTCCGATATCACCGCACTTTTACGAGTGAAATATGATCATAAGCTTGGGGGACGAGAAGTTGCACGGGGAGAGGTCGTGTTGCAATAGGATTCGCAGCCTAGGCTTGCAACGCAGGAGTCATTAAACTTATCAACATTACTTTTCGCTTTCATCGCAGACGATCTTCGATGAACTGTTGGGAACCGCAAAATTTTGCAATGCTCGGAAAACATCGCAATACCTCGTACTTGTAAGCATATCTTATCGGGACGACTATCAGAAATATCAGACTGGCCACTCATGTGCGCAATGCCGATGGCGCATAATTTCCTCATGAATCATACCAAATTCAAGCAACCTTTTTTTTTTCTCAAGGGGAAAGTGACGATCGACTCACTATTATTAAAGAAAGAGATGGGTCATCGAACCTGTAGAATCAACGAAACACCTCGAATAACCATCGACCAAGGGGCGACTTTCGCAGTAGTAGACGATGTCGATGCGAAAAATGCTCGAGAGGATCTTTCGATGCAGTCAGACTCTGAGAGACACTGCGAGGCCACGAAAGATCTCGTCTTCCGTTTATGGCCGTGTCTACGACTCTGTGCATCCCTCATCCGCCGAGTTTATGGGTGACATGCACCGGATCCGTTTAAACTAAACTAATCTGATCTCATAATGGTCCCCTATGGGAATCAGTTTAGCAGAGATAAACTTATTTCCGTAGACGCCCATTATGAAAACGAATCAGTTTAAAGTTAAAGGAATCTGGTGCATGTCACCCTATACCCCTGCTGGTACGGCAAGCTAGACCCTCGATGCAGCAGTTCGTTAACGGACAGCGAAACTGCAAACTGCATCTGCTATGCTGCATGTTCTACAGCATTCTAATATTTAAAAAAATCGAATGGTTTCTATTCTAGTTAGCATGCCGTACAGCCCGAACCTTTCGCCGAACAAGATGCAGCATCCAGCTGCTGCACGGCACATTCTCGATGCATTATTGCATGATTGCAGTCCGGCAGCCGGACATGCTGGATTGGATTTTTCGTGCAGTTGCAGCATCCAGCACGCTGCAAAGCACGAACACGAACCCGGTTTTATATATATATATATTTTACCACATTTGTCTGCAGAATCGAGAGCAACAGTGCGAGGGATTCTTTGAAGGCCGTCTCATGCGATGGAAACTCATTCTGAGACTCAGAAGTAAAAGACTGCCGGTAAACGAGGACGGTCCAATGCACCGAGATCCGACCATAGCTCGCATCGTCTGACTGCTGGCTGTGTCTGCCGTTCATTCGACTCGCGAAAGATCAGAATGTTTAAAGCAGATCGGAGGACCTTCCATCGGCGTTTTCTTCCGAAAATGGCACGCTCGGAAAGGCTGAATGTTCCATGAGAGGCACGGGCCAAGGTCACCTTATTCTCTGTCTCACAGAGACGACTCGAGTCTTGCCGTTTTAACTGTGTCTGTCTCCCTGTTTCGTGTCTTTCTCTACCCTCAGGCTGTGGTTTCTCTAATCGCGACCTAAATCGAAGAAAAATAACTACAAATACAAATACCGTGTCTTTCGATTCTGCACTTCCGTCTTCGCCTTTCGCATAACCAGGACGATTGGGCATCATCGTCGACTGAGGCTTTTTTGTTGGTCTTTGGCGTTTGGGCTTTCTTTTCTTCTGCTATCCAATTGGAGCAATTGATATCTCTCATTAAACTAATTGGGTTCTGAAGATCCCTGTAATCCTTTCGTTCACCTCACATATTGGAAGCCTCAACATTTTTCTACAAAGAGAACGTAAAAAAAGGCCTAAGTTGACAGGCTTTGGCAGAGGCACCCCTCAGGTAGGTGGGACGAGCGGCCCACCGGAAAGGCGTCTGCACCACCCTGATCTGCACGCCGCTGAGTGCATACTTTCACATGGTTCCATGCACGCGATGCCTATGTGTCTCTACAAAGGCAGGAGAGACTTGAAAATCAGCTGTGGCTGCCAGCTGCAAAACGAACTCCAAGACGCATTCGTTTCCTGTTTCGCCTGGCACGAAAGGAGATGAGATGAGTTGCCTTCTTGCCTTCTGATTGGTTCCTGCCTTCGGGTTGCCTTCTGATTGGTTTTTGCTGGCGAGTTATCGTCAAGTGTATCGGGATCTTGATGACAGCGGAGGGGGTCGGATGCGAAGAGCGGAGGCATGGTCAACTTACTGAAGGGTTTCTTTGCCTGCCACCTTTAAATTCGAGAGAAAATGAAATTTCTAAGGCTTGAGAAGCTGGAAGCAGGAGCGACAACAGGCTCCGATGGAATTCCGACGAGCGTCGTCGAGGAGCTCGACAAGAAAGCGTCCGTACCGTTGAGAATCACTTTCGAGAATACTGTTTGGGAAAGGAAATCGGCAAGAAATCGTATCCATCTAGTCAAGAAGGAAAAAATAAAAAATAAAGAATTCGGGAAATTACAGGCGGGTAAGTCAGAAATCTCGGTACGGCCTGGAGGTGAAATTCTCTCACCGATTTCCTCGAATCGTGCGATCGCGTGACGGATGAGATGGAAATAAAAAAGGATATTTGGATAAAAGGAATCCTGCCGACGTCGCCTACTTCACGAAAGCTTTGAATACCGTTCGTCACGTGAGATTGCGGGCATTTGTCGACGACGCGAGATTATATTTCCCCATCGAGGAGGGGGGGGGGGGGACGGCGAGAGTCGAGAGGGATTTACAGTTTTTGGACTAATGTAGTAAAAATTCACAAAGTTCGATAAAAGCACATGTAAGATTCTTCGCATCGCATAACGACGAAAAGTCTCTCGAATGCGTTCGGCGAGGATAAACTGGAGGCATAAGGGGAGAGAAACGCTGAGATCGCGATCGATGAGGAACTCAACTTCTCCGACGCGCAGGCGACAGTAGTGAAACGTTACAGGATTTTTGGCACAATCCGGCATTCCTTATCCGATGAGAGCGAGCGCGTCATTCTTCCGTGGCATGCAGCACTGGCAACAACCTCGTTTTGAGCATTGCGTTCGATTCTGAAGGCCTCTCGAAGCCTCAACTAGAAGGCTAAGTGGGAGGGGAGACCTTATCCAGGCATAAAATGAATCGATGATGTGGAGTGCGGTAGGTTTTTCGAACTCGATGGTTGCAACAGAACGGAGGAAACTCGTTCGAATTGCGTAAGGGCCAGATAGGCTCGGATTGCGGAATCGCTTCCCTAATCGTTGAGTCGTAAATGCGTGGAACGTGTTGGGCGATGTAGTTCTTGTCCCGTGCCGTGACTAGCGTTAAGAAGAGGTTACGTGCCTTCGCAAACGAAACAGAGAGGGAACAACGTTGCTTGTAAGTAACGAAGCCGCCGGTCGATATGTTCTCACTAAACGCCAACATTTAAGAGGATTAAGCCTATCTTATGGAACCGTTCACAAATTACGTAACGCAAAGGGGGGAGGGGGGGTATCAGACAAAGTGTTACGATTTGTTACAGGGGGAGGGGGGGGGTTTGCATGAATGTGACGTGACAGGTTTTTTCATTAAAAATAAATAAATTATCGATTGGAATTCCTTATTAGAAGGGTAATTGTTTAGTAAAAAAAATCACTCACACGACAAGAGCCAACCCTACTACCCACCCGCACCCACCACCTTTACTAACAGTGAAGTGGGCATTGGAAGCGTGGGAACGTCTGTTGACTTCCCTTTCCCCTGTTGCAAAACTCGCAAAGTCGCAGTTTCCTGCCTGAACCTGCCCAGACAGGCCAAACAAGCTCAGTTACCCTTTGGACGTTGCCCTCGTTCGTTTCTCTCTCGGCATCGCAATCTCTATTTCCACCATTCTACTCTACATTTCCTCGTCTCATTTTACTCTTTTTTTTTTAAGTCTGAAATGGGTGATCACCATTAATCAAAATAAACCAAGACAATCGAAAATTATTTCCTTGAAGAAGGAACCGAATGAAAGTGAACACTTTTCCTTTCCTTTTTAAAAACATTTTAATTATCTCTAAATGTGTACTCCAGAGTGTTAGTTATGAGTGTTTAATAAGCGAGTTCCTTTTCATAATGCATTTTACTTGTTTATTTATATTAAAAAATTATGGAGGGGGGGGGGGTTCATATTTTGTCACGTAATTTTTTGTGAAGGGGTCGAAGCTTTTGTTATGAAGTGTTACAGGGGGGAAGGGGGGGGATCAAAAAAGTTCAAAAATCACGTTACGTAATTTGTGAACTGCCCATGAATACATGAACGCAATATCTCGACACGGGCCGTCATGATGATACCTCTCGTCCCACCTCGAACCGAGCCCACGTCTCGGCATTCACGATCACGATTCCACCTGCGTCTTGCTTCCAAGGCGGTACCGAAGGAAGTCTCTCGTACGACCGTACTTGTTTCGTGGAAAGGTTAACTACGGGTTACTGGCTGAGGGCCGAACATCGACCCGACACGGACGGTGAAACAGCGGCACGTGACACGAATGCTATATTTCACCGATCGAGAAATTCCATTATCGCCTTCTCTAAAGGATCGGTAAATCAATATCGCCTCTAAGTCTGGATCCCACATTGATCCTAGAGATTTCTTCAATGTTGCAGCCTGCAGAGAGCAGAAAAACCCGTCCCACCCTCGGGAGGAAGGGACAGATCGACACTGCAGACAAAAAATTCAGGAAGTTTCGTGACCGACCGTCTAGCCTCTTGTGGGATATTCCCAAATTTCGAAAGTCTGTGTTCCACAACTGCACTCGAACCACGAGAAATGTCCAGCATAACCCAAAACTAGAGTAAAGCTTACATCAACATATTCTTTAAATTCTTATTACTGCGTTTTTGAAGTTACGGAGGCATTGAAGACAATCTGCCCCGGGCCTTGCGTATCGAAGGGTCCCAAGGGGCCTCTGGAAGGCCCTGGATCGCCTCACCCCTAATCCCCACTCAGCAATCCCTGCTCGTCAACCTCACCTCACGTGTTCCGCGTTCCAGCTCCCCCAACTTGGTCACTCCTTCTGGGAGTCCATTAGTCTGTAGGATATGATGTACGATTTACAAGATAAGCAGGTACACTTGCAAATGTTAGGCCACAATCAGGGCCGGATTAAGGGGGGGGGGGGGGCAAAGGGGGCAGTTGCCCCGAGCCCCCCTCTTCCAGGGGCCCGCCCCCCCCCCCCCCCCCTCACAATCAGGGCCGGATTAAGGGGGGGGGGGGCAAAGGAGGCAGTTGCCCCGAGCTCCACTCTTCCAGGGACCCCCCCCCCGAAGGAAATTAAAAACATTAAGTACAAAAAAGTATTGTATTTGTGTAAAGTAGCGGGGGGGGGGGGGGGAAGCCCCAGGAATTCACTTGCCCCGGTCCTCGCAACTTCTTAATCTGGCCCTGGCCACAATGTGTATGAAAGTTTTAAGTCCCCAACTATGATGGTCCTGACATTTTTAGTGTATATAATAGAGCAAAGCGAACCTGCTTCATCCTGGATGAACCTGGCATCAAATCGAAGAGGATACAATAAGGCATCCTCCAGAAACACCATTCACACATTCTGCAGAGACTTGGTTTTCTCTAATGATAGTGAATATGATTAAAATGCCTCTGAGAGATGTCAAAATCAATTTTCCATGAAAGGATCATAAGGGTTCATCAAAAGGGTAAAGCAGAATCTCCATGGGGTTATATGAACACAGGAATTCCTTCCATTTTTCCTCCTCCCCTCCACACCCCTGCTCATATTCTTCTTTTGCAACAATAAGGTTGATTTGAATGTCCTTTACACGATCCCCCCTTGAACCCCATTGTGAATTGAGGATGAAATTATCATCCAAAAGAGAAGCTGATGGACTGCATACAGGCACAATGAAAATGAAAGAATGTGTGCTAATGAAACAACAAAGGCAATCAATAAACATGACAAGCACTGAGTTAAGTTGAATAGCATTGCAACCATGGTTGAACTGGACCACTACCTACCAGGAAATTTCCCAGAGGACCCCCCAGACCAAACGACAACAGACCAAACGACAACGACCCCAGCATTGGGTGCAAGGACCCTTAATCTACATTGGGGGGGGGGGTCCTTTGTCAGCAACTTCCCAGGGGGGGCCCTAGGTTGCCAGTCTGACCCTGATGCTGACACTTATCATAAGATCAAAAATGATACAAAGTTTCAAAATCAAATATACTATTTATTTATCTGAGGAAGATCAAATGAAACTTTCCAGAAAGGAATACTGTGACTAGGTGTGTATCACAAAGAGGTGTCAGGGAGGATCATGTTGTAACTTGATCACGTTCACGTCTCTCCCTATCAGAACTCAAGCTATGGTCCTGTTCGATTGCAGAGTCATCGGACCCCAGACCATCAAGGAAGAAGTCTTCCCCTGAGGGTGAGGATGCAGGGACATACCAAATGCTGTTGTCCACCTTGTGCTCAACCTGTTTCCTTTTGGCAGGCTTTGTGGCATGAATACTAGAAAAAGAAAAAAGGTATTGTTAACTGATAAGACTTTCATCCTGTAATATTTGGGAATGCAGGAGAACTCACGACTGTCTCAGCTGCTTCCAGGCGGCATGGAATGTGGAATACATGTCTTTTCCAAATGGAACAGGGGAGAATCTAGCTTGTTCATACAGAGTAATGAAATCTTGAATCACTTGGCCCTCCACCTTAGAAAGGGGCCCTGAGGATAGGCTGAGATAATATGCACGAACATTGTTCCCAGGGTACCTCCTTGTTATAGGGTGCAGTTTCCATAACTCTTCCTCTGTAATAGATAAGACAAATCAGGAAATTTTATCAGGGTTGTCAAAATATTTGAAATAATTTATGCTTGAAGCCTGAGGTATGTCAGGGCCTGAGGTATATCAGCAAATGAAAAGCAAAACAAACCCAGCACTTTCAGGCTGTCAACTGCTTTCATGCGATAAAAAGCACCCGTCTTCTCAGTTGAAGGTTCAAACAGCAATTTGGGCTCATAGCAGATCTCAGTCAACCGATCCAAACGCCTGTTTATCTCCTTCTGCATTCCCTATTGATAAGACCTTTATTAGATCATGCTTTAAAAATGGAAGACTATCCATTAAAGGTTAGACCCATGGGTATTGGTATAATATATGCCTAAATTAGCATAAACCAAACAACCATTCTATCATAGATAAGGTTCCAACAGGTGTTCTTACTCAATAATTGAGCTTGGTTGGCAAACAGCTGAAACAGATCACTACCAGACACCATGACATATGAGAGAACATAGTGGCAAATACAGGCTCCAAGAAGAAAGGTGATCAGGACTAGATTTTTTGTAATTGTGCAAGTTTAGATTTCAAGTTATACCTGGTAGGAAATGAGTGAATTTTATGGTTTATTGGAGTTTCCTAATTTGGAAGTAATCCAAAGGGGTACCTAGATTATAAGAAAGTGACGAATGTCAACTATTATCTCATGAAAAAAAATTTGTTCTTCTAGTCTTTAACTGTGCAGTAGTCTGGCTTTTACCTCCTTTAGTAGTCACAAGGGGTGAAAGGTTACCCGAGGCCTATTTGAGGAGCTCACAAAAGCATGACTGACCCCTCCAGGCAATCAGGAATTACTACAAATGGGAGTTGGGAAGGTCACTGTAAGGTACTGAGGTGATCAAGCTCAAGCAAAATAAAATATGCACATGGCACACACATAATGGTGGAGTTGGAAATAAAATACACCACTCAACTACTGCAAGGTTAACCCTGTTCTGAGTCCAATGGACCATGACACAAAAATTTAGCCATTTGTGCTGGCTATGCTGTAAACTGCTGGACTTGCTTAGTCCAATACTCCAGGTATTTTCACAGACATGGTTATAATTATACAAAGTATTTTTAAGAGATTCTTTGGGAATGAAGTGATGAAACAAAGTGCTTTCAAACTGATATTGTAGATCATAATCCAACTTTTACAGATAAACACACTCACGACCCTGCATGAAGCATTCGTTCAGTATGGAGCCTCTCTTGTGCAGCACGTCATTGTACTAAGGAAACGGGTTCGACTTTCACGTAATTACTATATATGCAGTCAACCCTTGACATAATACCACCGTTGGTCATCACCAATTAGGTACTTTAATGAGAGTGGCACTATATCAAACTAGCCACACTCCCTATTATAAGCTCTTGGGAGATATACCCACAGGAAGAGGTTGACACTGGGCGCATTCAGTTGTGACCTGAGTCATGACTTGAAGGTCTCAGACCAAAGCTTGCAATGAGGCTTCAAAATAAATTTTACTCCATAGTGACACCTCTTGCCAATGTAATCAATCCTGGGTATGATAGTTTTTGAAAAGTGCTGCACCTGTTGAGAATCATGAACTGGGTCACAACTGAATGCACCCACTATATCAAGTGGCAGTATAACAAGAGTTGCCTGCATATGCAGTCTCCAATTAAGAATTTACATTTGTAACACTTGGAACAAACCACTCTATGCATTATGGTCCCTCAACACCTGAAACTCTTCTGGAAGAATTTACAATTCCACACTACCCACTCCTTCAATATCCTCCCAAGACAAATAAAGCCTAAGAAATAAGTTCAAAATTTCTCTCTAAAAAGCATTTATATTCACGTACTTTTTTCCATTAATGACTTTTAGGAAGCCACCAGCAGATCTCCTTGTTATAAAGGCCTGAGATGACTGCTATCCTTCTGCCAGCTTAGTATATTGACGATTCCCTTTGTGTATATGGATTTCTAATGAATGAATTCCTATATCCAATGAAGCTCATGTCTTCCTTATTATATCTAGGTCAAACCATTCCATGCCAGGCTTCCCAATTGCTCCAAATTCAGATGATTTTATACAGGGTGTTAAGAAAGTTGTGTCCCATCGCAATATGCCTATAACCTCAGCAAAAATTTAAACATCAGGAAAATTTTTATACACAATAACAAGGACAGTTAACTGATTTAGAATCACTTAATAGTTTTCAATATAGCCACCCTTGGCATGGATGACAAGGTTCAGGTGACCCATGAAAGCATCAACTGATTTTTGCAAGACTTCCTGTGGAATTCGCTCCCATTCTCAATTCAGGAATAGCTTGAGAGAATCCAAAGAACTTTTGTAGCCCATACTTTGCTCTCCAAGATGGACCAAATTGAAAAATCTAAATCTGATTTTCTTCAAGTCATTCGGCATCAAGGGTCTGGGCCGGGATTCTGTAATGGTCTGGGCCAGGATTACCGCTTCTGAATGCACTCTGCTAGTTTTCATGCCCGAGAAGATGAAGGTCAGCACTGAAGTATACTGGAAAAGCATCCCTGGAAGACTGCCTGGTTGCGTGGGCCATGAAATATTTTGATGGAGGCAGGTGGGTCTTTAAGCAGGACTCAGTGACAGCTCACATCACAAGGTGCAGATGACCCAGGAGTGACTGTGGACAAATGTCCCCAACTTCATTTCGATTTCACAATGGTCCCCTTACTCCCCTGTCAACCCCCTAAACTTTTTCAATTTGGTCCATCTTGGAGAGCAAAGTGTGTGCTACAAAGCACTGTTCTTTGGATTCTCTCAAGCTATCCCTGAATCGAGAATGGGAGCAAATTCCACGGGAAGTCTTGCAAAAATGAGTCAATACTTTCATGGGTCATCTATGCCAATGGTGGCTATATTGAAAACTATTAAGTGATTCTAAATCAGTTAACTGTCCTTGTTATTGTGTATTTAAAAATGTCCTGATGTTTAAATTTTTGCTGAGGTTATAGGCATATTGCGATGGGACACAACTTTCTTAACACCCTGCAGAAAAAAAGCAGGGATGTGAGTCTGGAATGCAAATTCAGTCCAAGTTGTAAGCAATTCCTTTCCGTTCAGGCATCCTGGCTTTTCCACATTACAAGGACTGACAGGCATTTTCTTGAAAATGCCCCAGTTTTTCCTGAAAATAAAATCTGGTCACCCTACAATATGACCACTATCATTTAAATATTGACTGATAGGCCTAACCGACTCAACATTTTATTTGATCACGCCAATCGTAATGCTAGGTCTAGTGATGGTCTACTTATCTTAAGATTCTTGACTTACTTTCGCTCTTTACTTATTTTGGAATAGCCTTCACCCTAGCGTTGGTTTCATGTTCTACGTTTTCAGTTTAACCTAAGTCGGCGCGGGGGGTTTAACCAATCGTATCGATTTGATGAAGTGCTAAGTGAACATGAATTCACTGCAGCCTAGAGTATGTTATGCATGGCTAGTACACGTGTGGCTCACCCCTGAGGCACCATGTCCGACGGGGACGTGAGGTCCCTTTCTGGATCGGAGCGTGAATCTCCTGATCTGCCTTTTGGCGAAGATGAACAAGATGAGGAAGCCAAGAACGCCAATGCCGATGAAGACCACGATCGTGATCCCAGATAAATCCCTGAAGCCCATTCCTCGGTCGATCCAAGCCTAAAAAATCAGTAACACACTTTTATGCATTTTACTGCGCGGTGCCACTACGGTGCCATATTGTATGATGCGATGCCATTCTCAGGCCCCGCCCCCATTTCGGCACACGTGTACCCCACGTGGCCTCCTAAGGAGGGGATTCTGCCTTTACTTTAGTTACTTGTCACTTTGACTGTCGTTTACATTTTTTGTTTTTGTTCCCATTCTGAAGCCTTCAAAAAAAGAATGAGGTTGAAGGCTTGAGCCAATTCCTAAGCTACTCCTTGGGCGTTCCCTGATCAGCTGGCCAGGGGGAAGAGTCATTGTTTTGTAATAATTGACTAAACCTCTAGGAGTCACCTTCGGCTTTCGGTCTAGAGCCTACAAAAACCTACGTTATGGTTTTCTACAATAATCCTAGCATGTTTTCACGACCTATGACCCTACAGGATGATTCCATCAAGGGGATGTCTCTGTGTGAACTACTTGCGCTTTTTTATTTATTGACCCTTTCACGAATTATTTTTGTCTCAGAAAGTTGGCACGTCTCCCTGCATTTTTTCCAATCAAAGAAATTACACAGAAACACAAAAAAGACAAAGGAAAAGAAGCGGATAGACCACAGAGAACGTGGGAGCGATGGACGACTTGCCTCGTCCAGCATTCCTGGGTTTTCACCAATACGAATCCCCAGTTTAGTGGAACCTGGATTTTTATACGTAAGACCGGGAAGTAAAGCTTAGGGAAGGAAGAGAATTGGGTTGAAGCAAGAGAATGCGAGAGAGGACTCCTATTACTGTCTTACTCTGCAGGTGATCATACCTCAGCCAACACTTCACTTCGGTCACTGAAGGGAATCATGACTACACCGACGGGAAGCTCCGAAGGAGTGATAGATACTGTGCAATGCTTCCGCGATGAGTTCAGTCATTCTTTTTAATGAAAACCATTGACTTCTTTGGACACA